CAACCGTCAAGGACGAACGGCCACTCAGCTGCCCACACCTGTCTCCCACTTTCTGATTTCCAGATTCCCTTTGCTTGATACCTAGCGTCTGCTCAGAGGGGTTTTGGGTGCGTTTTAAATGGGTTCTAACATTCCCCCTAACTACAAAAATTTTCGTCCTCGAAAATTATGACTTACCAGAAAATGGGCGAGGGTACAAGTATCTCATGGCGTCTTCCACTTCCCATGTAGAGTCGTCCGTCTTCTCATCCCAGACCATTCTCGCCAATCTGATGGCTTTTCTCTTGAAATACTTGGTTCGGCTATCTTCAATTCATACTGGTTGCATCTCCACCGTTCGGTCTTGACGAATACGGACATCTTCTAACTCCAGTATATGAGAAGGGTTTGCTACGTATTTCCAAAGTTGTGAAACATGGAAGACTGGATGAAGATTGGATAGTTGAGGAGGCAAGGCTATCTCGTACGCTACTGATCCGATGCGCTTCAAAATATGATACGACCCAATGAATTTGGGAGACAGCTTCTTAGGACGAACGACTCTTTCCACTCCAGTAGTTGGATTTAGTTTAAGAAAAACATGTTCTCCTGCAACGAACTCCAAAGGCCTTCTTCTCTTGTCAGCATAGGACTTCTGCCTGCTCTGTGACGCTTTCAACCTATCTTGAATAAGCTCAAGTCCAGTCAAAACCTTTTCTCCCACTTGAAACCAACAAAATGTAGCCTTCTACACTTCCTCCCGTAAAGAGCTTCAAAAGGTGTCATTCCAATTCTGGACTGAAAGCTGTTGTTGTAGGTGAATTCAACCAAAGGAAGAATTTCATCCCAAACGCCCAAGTGATCCAGTACATACATTCTCAACAAGTCTTCAAGCGTCTAGATGGTCCTCTCAGATTGACCGTCCGTCTAGGGATGATACGCTGAGCTCATCTGCAGTTTGCTAACCAATTCGCTTTGTAGGGACTGCTAAAACCGAGACATAAACCTTGTATCTCGGTCAGAGATGATGCTGGATGGCACTCCATGTAACCAAACGATCTCGTTGATGTAAAGTTGTGCAAGCTTCGTCATGGACATCTTCAGGTTGACAACTAAGAAGTGTGCGCTCTTCGTCAGTCGGTCTACTATAACCCAGATGGAGTCATGATTCTTGACCGTACGGGGTAAGTGGGTCACGAAATCCATGGAAATGTTGTCCCACTTCCACTCAGGAATCTCCAACTGTTGTAGTAGACCGCCCGGTCTCTGATGCTCTGCCTTTGCTCGTTGACAAGTTAGACAAGATGCCACAAACCGAGCGACATCACTCTTCATTCCTGGCCACCAAACGGACTTCCTGAGATCTTGATACATCTTAGTCATACTAGGATGCATGCTAAGACGACTTTGATGTCCTTCCTCCAGGATTATCCTCTTCAACTCACCGTCATTTGGAATGCACGTCCTATCTCTGTATCATAGGAGACCGTCCGTTCCCATATTGAAATATTTGGCTTTGTCTGTATCGATCACGCTCAAGATCTTTTGGAGATCTTCATCAGCTGACTGCTTTTCCTTGATTCGGTCAAAGGCATTACTGGATATCCTAAGGTTGCAGCACCTTATACCGCTCGATTCTAACTCGAACCGCAACCTTAAGTCTCTAAAACTCTCAACCAAGCTGAGTTCTTTTACCATCATAACCGAGACATGAACTCCTTTTCTGCTTAAGGCATCCGCTACCACATCAGCCTTCCCCGGATGATAAAGTACTTCAAAATCATAATCCTTCAGAAACTCAAGCCATCTCCTTTGTCTCATATTCAATTCTTTCTGATCAAAGAGGTACTTGAGACTCTTGCGATCGTTGAATACTTGAAACGTAGTCCCGTACAAGTAATGCCTCCATATCTTCAATGCAAAGACCACATCTGCCAATTCTAGGTCGTGCGTAGGGTAATTCTTCTCATGAGTCTTCAACTGTCAAGAAGCGTACACGATCGCTCTCCTCTCTTGCATAAGCACATAGCCCAAACCTTGATGAGAAGCATCATAGTAGACTTCGAATGGTTTGACCGTGTTAGGAACAACCAAGACTGGAGCGCTCGTCAACTTATGCTTCAGTTCTTGGAAGCTGGATTCACACCGATCGGTCCAAGCGAACAGGTGATCCTTTCTGGTCAGCTGCATTAACGGTGCTACTATCTTAGAGAATCCTTCAATGAAACGCCTATAGTAGCCCGCCAGCCCCACGAAACTCCTAACTTTAGTGACCGAACGTGGGCTTTCCAGTTCCAGTACCGCTCGTACCTTAGCCGGATCCACTAAGATACCTCCAACAGAGCCTACGTGCCCCAAGAACTGCACTTCATTCATCCAAAACTCACTTGGATAACTTGACATACAACTCCTTCTCCCTTAATACACCAAGCACCATCCTCAAGTGTTCTTCACGGCTCTTGGAGTAGATGAGGATATCATCAATAAAAACGACCACAAACTTGTCCAGGAACGGCCTAAAAATGCGATTCATGTAGTCCATGAATATGGCAGGAGCATTAGTAACACTGAACGACATTACTACGTACTCGTAGTGACCATATCGAGACCTGAATGCAGTCTTCTGGACGTCCCCTTCCTTAACCCGAATCTAATGATACCTAACCTCAAATCAATCTTCGAAAATATAGTAGCCCAATGCAATTGATCCAACAGATCATCAATCCTAGGCAAGGGGTAATTGCTCTTGATGGTCAGCTTGTTTAACTGCCTATAGTCAATACAGAGTCGAGAGCTGTCATCCTTCTTCTTAACTAAGAGCACTGGCGCTCCCCAAGGTGATGCGCTCGGCCTAATGAACTGCTTGTCCATTAGGTCTTCAATTTGCTTCTTCAGTTCGGCCAGCTCGGCTGGAGACATCCGGTATGGCGCTATAGAGACGGGCCCTGCTTCCGACACCAAATCAATTAAGAATTCTACCTCACGAGGGGGAGGTAGTCCGGGTACTTCTTCCGGAAAGACGTCCAAAAATTCATTCACAACTGAACGTTTTCCACTTCGCTCTTGACTAACTGCTTGGTCGTGACTTAACTCCTCAGATACTACGTCCGCATGCGTCATTATCATAAAACAACTGGCACCTTCCATGATATCTTCCCTTATTTCGCCGAGCATTAACGAATACTCTTCTTCTTCATTAGGGAATACTAACTCCTTCTCACCACAATCTATGAGAATGCGATTGGCAGCCAACCAATCCATTCCTAAAATCACCTCTAATTCGTTTAGAGGTAAACAGATAAGGTTTACCTTATATCTACGCCCTTCTACCTCAATAGGACATCTAATGCACACAGTAGACGTCCTAACCTCACCATCTGCTGGGGTTGACACCACCAAGTCAAACTACATCTCACCCTCGGTCAATCCTAGTTTTTCAACGCATGCCTTCAAGATGAAGGAATGTGTTGCCTCCGAATCAAACAACACACAACACAACAATCCATACAGTAAGCAAGTGCTAGTGATAAGTGTACCTGAGCTTGCCGCTTCCGCTCTAGTTAAAGCATAGACCCGACCAACCGCTTGTGCGCGGCCACCACCCCTCGGTTGATTTCTTCCAACATTTGGTGGCCTCATCATTGCTCGCCTTCCCATGTTACACTCGCTCTCCAGATGACCATTTCTTCTACAGCGAGCACAAAACTTTCCTCCCACCAGTTGAGGACATGACGAACGATAGTGGGGTCCTCCACATTGGAAACAAGTCATTGTCCCTTGCTGTCCAGATTGTCCGACAGCAACCACTGACTGAGAGTGAGGAGACCCACTAGCATTAGAAGGCAGCGCTGGACGAGCGTAAGGCGTCCTCCTTTGACTTGAAGTGTTTCTTGAAGGAACGGGTCCTCGAGCCGCCTGCTGTTGTTGCTTCCTCTGTTGTTCGACCTCTAATACGTTCTTCTCCATTACCTTGGCTCTCTCCACCATGGCAGGAAAAGACTTGATGCACAAGTTGGAAATCAACAACTTCAAATCACTTCTCAGCCCATTCTCAAACTTCTTGCACTACCACTCCTCGCTCGTAGCCATGGTATTGAAACGAACCAAATGTTTGAACTTGCTGGTATATTCTGAAACTAACATCCCTCCTTGCACCAACTGAAGAAACTCCACTTCCTTGGCAAAACGAACGCTATCTGGGAAGTATTCTTCATAAAACTTGCTTTTGAATACTTCCCACGAGATGGGACTTTGGGCGTCCGTCAGAATCATCTTCATACTAGTCCACCAATGACTGGCTTCCCTAGTCAAGAGATACTCTGTGAATGTCAGTCTATTGTCATTAGGGCACCACTTGGCATTGTAGATCCGCTCCATATCACGCAGCCACTAATCGGCCTCATCAGGAAGGCACTTCCCATTGAATTTGGCTGGGTGATGCTGTAGAAAACTCTCTAAGCTCCACTCGGTCTGATGAGTAGTGGTGGAAGTGGACGCTCCAGTTGTATTCCTTGTACCTGATATGATCTCCATCAGTTTCCTTTGGGTCGCTTCTGAGTTTGCTCGTGCGGCTTCCAAACTCTGTAAAGCGGCCGTGTTCTGTTGTACTAAGGCAACGTTCTGTTGTTGAAGAGCCTCTATCACTGATTCTAACAACCTGGTGTTGTCAGATGGATTATGCTCGGCAGAAACAGGAGGAGGAGGTCTAGGAGCCATCTCTTCTCTGAAAAATAGAGAAAAGAAAACCATCAGATTAATTCAAATAGTTAAAAACTACAAAACCGAACGTTGAGAACACAGCAAAAACATAGTATACTCATAACCTACAGTGTTCGTTAGGAAAAAAACTGCTCTCATACCATTAAATGTAACATCCCAAAAATACAGTGTAAAATCATATGATAGAATGATCACATCTAATAATATTACAGTTCAGTCTTTCAAAAGAGATTCAGTACAATTACGGTCGAACGACCTTACAACATAACGAAGAGTTAAAACAGCACACTAGCTACAACTAGGTCGAACAATTTACAAAAGACTTATACCGAATGGTCATACAAAAGAAAAAAAAAACAAAAGATGACCGAACGATCATACAAAGAAAACCAATGACTGACCGAACGGTTCTACTGTTCAGTCTTAACTTCCACTTCGAACATATTTTCTTCTAGTGCCTCTTCCAGCAATTCTTCTCCTTCTGCTCACATCCATACGGATGATCATTGCAACAGAAGGACAACGAACGAACGTATAAAACGGACAAGACAAGAAATAGGGTAAGCTTATGTGATTCAATTCAAGTATCAACATAGATTCCACACAATTCAAATAAACGACATAATTTCATTCACTTTTACATGCAAAACTTAATACTAGACTCTGACTTTCCGGACTGTATGAATTTTGTGTAGCTACGACGTTCGTGCACCCGGGTGATGTAGTAACTAGGATACCCTCAATAGTTGCCACCCAAGGTTAGTCCGTTCCGTCCAAATTGACCATAAGAACGAGGACCTCCTGCCATTCTCACACATGACTTACCCTCCTCTACGTGAGAAACGAGTAATCACGAATATCAGGATGAACCACCAGCTTAGCATGCCCATATTCATACTTTACCAATTTCCAATATACATTCATGAGCTATTCCTCCTCGGAATACTCATTCATAACTCAAATCATTTCATTCATATCATATTTCATCATCTTTCATTGTTAATAATCTCAATTGAACCATTCGTACAAA